CGTTATATGGGATGTGGGCGTGGTTATTGTCCGATTTTTTAAATTTTCAGCCATTACTTATGCTGTACCAAGGCCAACAACTGTGCCAAGTTTGGAAGAAATTGGTGCAGCGGTTACCAAGATATACACATGTAACCATAAGTGGGCGTGGCTACGCCCATTTTCCAAAAATTTATAATATTCTTATTTTTCGTCTAAAAATTATTGTAAATATCAATTTTGAGTGAATTATCTTCAGTAGTTACTAAAATATCGCAGTTTTCGTATTTCTGGAAATTACCGTTATATGGGAAGTGGGCGTGGTTACAGTCCGATTTCGCCCATTTTCAACACCAACCTACCTTGGATTAACGAAAAGCCATATACCAAATTTCGTTGCGATATCTCAATTTTTGCTCGAGTTATCGTGTACACGGACAGACGGACAGACGGACAGACGGACAGACAGACAGACATGGCTTAATCGATTTCTTTTTTCATCCTGATCATTTATGTATACATTTGTCTATATCTATCTCGATTCGTTTTGGCTGTTACAAACAACCGTTATGTGAACAAAATTAATATACCCTTGTGCACAAGTGCGCTCGGGTATAAAAAAAATATTTTTATATATATATATTTCTTTTTGCGCGCTTTGACAATCAACCGGTTTAATATGTATTTTGTTTCGTCGAAATTCGAGTTTTCATGTAGAAACATAAAACTTAATTACATTGCTGATATTTTTAAAGCACAATATATAAAATCCACGGCAATTTTGACGAGTAAAAAAGCAGTACAAAATTGTTTTCTTTGCGTTCATTGTGGCATACCTTTTGCGTCTGGCGCTTCGCTGGCAAAGTTATAAATGTCACGCAAAGCTACAAAGTTTTATCTGGCATCAGCTTAATAGGGTCGATTAGTTGCATTGAGTTGCGCAAAAATAGTGCCGAAAATCAATCGATTGTGCTTAACGTACCGGCTGCTTCCGAAAGGGCCAAAAATGGCACAATGCACATTTTCCATCACTGCTTGCAACTACTTTATAAAATCTGAAAAATTAATTGCGAGCAGTATATTGATTAAAGAGTAGTATGACATTAGTCAGACGATCGCCCGCACCAAAGCTCGAAAAAACAAAATTTCGAATAAAATATATTACCTAAACGAGAAATAAAAAAAAAATTTTTATTTTTTATTTTTTTTAAATCTTTAATCGTAACCATTTTTTAGGCTTGCACAAGATTATTTATAGAATAAGAAATCGCGTAGAATTTTTCGTCAACGTGAAAAACTAAAACAATGGGTATGTAGATACTATCAGGCCGATTATGAACAGGAACTCCCTGGGAGTTTTCTCTCTTTTCCCTTTCCTCCTATCATGAATAAAAATTCCCTGCGGATTTTGTATATTATATGGCGGAGTTGAGCTATCAAAAAGTATCAAACGGCTCTTGCGAAGTTCGAATTTTCTCCTTCCGAATTTTCGGGGAAAATGCTCCTTCCTGGGAGTTAATTATTGGAGGATTTCTTTCTCTAACGTTATTTGACAAGTTGATCCCATTCGAACGCCCACCCACCCCCGAAATAAAATCCTGTATCCTCCACTTTAGGCACTTACATACAGAGCAAGTTAAATAAAAGCTTGTAAAAAGAGCAATCTATATACCTATTTCTAAAAGGTATTTTTCTGTTACCAAACGATACCTCCTTTAATATTTCATAAAATTTAATGAATGATGTCTCATTTTGAAGGAGAGAAGCTCACGTACATGCGAAAAATTAAAAAGCTGAAAATACTGTATCCGGTCAATAAAGCGCCATATCTTCCATAATACTCCATCAAATTGAATGATTAAAACACCATTTTGAATTATAGCTTCACCGGTTGAGTTAAAAAAAATAACAACTATTTAATAGCGTTGCCACCTGCTTAAAATTTTATTGACTTAAATATATGTCGAGTAAAATATGCTTTGCATTGCATTTATGGAATAAAAGGCATTTAAATGCACTTTTAACCAGAAATAATAATTTTTAAGAGGGTTGTCAACTAAAAAATTTTAATTTCTATATATATGTATGTACATATAAAACAAAGTTGCTTCCGTAATACCGAGCATAGCTCTATAATGGATTGTCCTATTTGAGCTATTTTTTTGTTGTGGTTACCTCTGCCCAAGGAAAATTAAAAAAGTTCCGAATAGAAAATTCCGAAAAATTGATTTTCCATGATTTTATACACCAAAATTTTTTAATTTCTTTAATTTTGATCGTAATATTATAATTTAAATGGCTGCCCAGGTACAAAATTGTATCAATGCTAAACAATTATGTAGCTTAGGTTACGTTAGAGAGTGTTATAAATTATTGCTGGTCCCATTTACAGTTGCCAACTTGAAAACTTTATGGTGGAATTTTGATTAAAAATATAAAGCCAGCGTTGTCATGACTTTCATTTTCCTCGAACCAGTTCAATTTTTGTTTCCGTGTATTCACTACGGGCGGGTGAAAAAATTTCGGGCTAATTTGTTTTCGGGCAAAACCCACAATAGAATGTCTGAATTTGCAAATTTGGTTCGATTGCTTCAAAGATAGTTTTAATTCTTCGACATTGTACGAAAGTGTCCGTAAACTATTCGCCGATCTGAATATAAAACATTGGCTTGGCAAATTAAAAAGATTGGCGACTAGCACTGCACACCAAAATCCTCAGCAACGCGCCCAATTTAATGAACAGCTTTGAGTGCATGCGTCGCAAATTCATACAGGACGACCTCAGATGAACCAGCTCCTTAACAACTGAAACAAAAGCAAAGTCCCGAGCTGCTTCGTAAAGAGAGAATAAGTACCGTAAATGTCCAATTACTTCGACATGATTGAGTTCTGCAGGGGCTAAAGTCAAATTACAACAGTTAACTGAACCACCAGCTTATAACCCGGAGCTCATAACTTTATGGCGAATTACCAGAATAAGGACAATTCTTGATGAATGCCCACAAATGCAATGATTAGGCAGTTAAAGGATTGCATATCAAATTAGTCTATGCATACTGGATTTATGTGGACCAACGATACTCGCTCATTATGAACTTGCGACCAACTATGCTGTAAAGATTCAAGAGAAGGAAGTTATTTAGTAATTTATTTCGTTAGCAACTCTCATATCGGATTTGATTGATATGAAACGCCAGATCATTGGAAAATTGCAAGAACTTCGTCACGGACACAACGCTTTGGTTAGGTTATTTAAAATGGTGATGGAAGATATGCCTTCTGACGACCAAAAAAACCATAATTAGAGCAGATAAATGTGCCAATGGAAGTCGTTAAGTGAATAGTTGGTGAAAGTGTTGTACCAAAATGTTCCAATAAAAATTTAATTTTGGGCGAGACGAAGTTCGCCAGGTACGCTAGTATGTTTAATTTCAAAACGTTTACATAAATAACCATAATAAACGTGCTTATTACGTTAACTCCATTACCTGTATAGGGCTGTTCAGAATCTTGTGCATATGCTCTTGCGTTTGCATATTCGTCTTATTTGAAAATTCACGACAATAAAAGGCACACGGTTGCCATGGAAATAAGCTCAAAATCTGCAAATGCAATTTCAAACAGCCCTTATATAATTTCCTTCAATAACAACGTCTTTTACGAATGTTGAAAGTTGTTGCCTTTCAAACCAGTCGATATCATATTGTCCGTCTATTTCCTGCCAACCATTTTCCACAGCTGCCTTTGTTCAACCCAAGGTTCAACCCACTTTCGGTCGAAACCGGATGTCTGTAATACGACTAAAAGATAGAGCATCCCCGACTTGATCATTCACGTTCTTGCGTTTTCCAATAAAAACATTCTTCCCCATTTTAGAAGGGGAGGACGGGTGGTCTAGGACCAGAGCTGGGTGATAAGGATTTATTACTAAACGATTAGGATTGCAGTAATCCCAACAAGCTAAAAAAAAGTAGATTACGATTACAGTAGTCCTTCATCGAATGAAAGAGATTTTGTACAACTTCAACGCGTGACTGACACGCTCGTTTACATGATTTGAGTGACTGATTAATGTCATACTACTTTTTAATCAATATACTGCTCGCAATTAATTTTTCAGATTTTTTAAAGTAGTTGCAAGATCTAGAGTTTCTGTACAAAATTTAAGTCAGCACTAAGTCAGTCCCGCGCCAAACGCTAACGAATTAGATTGACTAGCGGAAGCTATTTCTCTACACTTCTAATATGACAAAATATCAAAAATTCAGTATTTATAAAATGCTTGCAATGCCTTCTCGCTCGATCTCGGGGTACTAGATACCAGGATGCATAAAAACTAAAGCCAGGCATATGTTTGTTTTTTAAAAGCTATGTACATATCGGCACCTAAGGGTTAAAAGGTGCCAAGTCCATCTTTGAATCGATATAGTTTCGTGTTAACTCCCATTATGAAGAAAAAAGCAATTGACTTGGCACCTTTTCACCTTTAGGTACCGATATGTATGTATGTATGTTACTCTAGAAAAGTAGGTATATATACTACATCCAAATAAGCGAGTACTAACTGTTGCTGCGAAGCGTGATTAGCCAAAATTTGAGCTGTCAACTGTTGATGGAACACGAGTGGATCTATGAAGTTGAAGTCGGGCGCATAATTGTAGTCGTAGTCATTAAAGCCACCATCATAGAACCCGGCATTGCCTCCGTACCCTCCAGCACTGCCACCAGCGTAGCTGCCAGCACTCCCGCCAGCATAATCAGTGGCATATCGCTTGTGTTGACGCGCTAATGGAATAAAATATTTTAATTTGTTCTGAGGTCTGCTTTTCGATCTAACTTGTGTACCTCCTTCAGAGTTCATCACTAAGACCGCGACAATACAAACCAACAAAACGTTCCACATATCGAACGAGAGTTACCTATGGAAAAGAACACAATTTTAAATATGAATTAGTTTGAAAGCTTTCAATAAAATACCCGATAGAAAGCATTAAAGAAATAGTTTATCTATAAACGAAATTAACTTTCTCAAGTAAAAAATTTGTCAAGGAAATGGAAAGTAACATTAAATCCCAGTAACTGTGGCTCAACTTTACTCCATTCATACTCTTGCTTGCACTTTAGCGCACATGGGCTCAATTCTAGAATGCGCTGAGCCAAATAAGAGCTTTAGTATGACACCACCTTGGCTAAGAAAGAATGTCCACAATATGGAGTGATCTCCCGTCTATTATTGTAAATCGTAGAAGACGAACTATCAGTATTCGGTTTGACTCCTTACTTGAGTGTATTAAAAGTATGAAGATCTGTATATTAACAATGTTGGACAATGTCCAACATTTGTCACTAGAACCAGGCAGGAAGTCCTTGACCTGACTCTCAGTAACTATCTGGGTAATAATCTGATAGGACAATGGTGGGTGTCTTCGGAACCTTCCTTGTCCGACCACAGGATTATCTGCTTCCGGCTGGGAGTACAGGCCAGAGCAGTGACTCCAAAGAGGAACCCAAGAAACACCAATTGGGATAATTATAGCAAATTACTAGATTTTAACCTACCCGGGTTAGAGAGGGACCACAAAAAAGGTGGCTGTATGGCATTGGAGCATAAAGTTAATAGGCTAACAGATATAATGACTGATGCCTTTAACTATCGCTGCCCTGAGACCCAACCAAGAGGGAAGGGGAGAACAGTGTGGTGGTCTCGGGAACTCTCATCCCTTCGGAAAGACATGCGCAGGCTGTTCAATAAGGCTAAGCGCACGGGATGCTGGGCAGAGTATGCGCCTAGTCTAACAAAGTACAGCAAAGAAATTAGGAAGGCGAAGAGGGAAAGTTTCAGAACCTTCTGTGAAGGCATTTGGAATACCCCGGCCGCCGCGAGGTTACATAAGGCTATATCCAAAGGAACTATCGAGTCGAAGCTTGCGCTTAAGCTTGCAGATGGCACCTACACCAACAGTAGGGAGGAGAGGGCAACTGCCTTGATGCTGGCACACTTCCCGGAGGCTTCTAACCTGATGGCGGAGCTGGAGGTCCAGCAAACTAGGCCGCGACCATCTGATTAGAGACTGGCGAGAAGTATCTTCACTCAGGCTTCAGTCGGATGGGCGCTGGCCTCGTTTGAGCGCTACAAGGCTCCAGGGCTAGATGGCATCCGGCCAGTAGTGTTACAGCAGGGCAGTGAGAGCGTAATGCCGCATCTTGTGGACATAATGAGAAGCAGTCTTGCCGAAACGTAGGTCCCACAGATGTGGCGAAGGGCGCGAGTAATCTTCATCCCGAAAGTGGGTAAAAGAGACTACTCGCTAGCGAAGTCGTTTAGAACAATAAGCTTAACCTCCTTTGTGTTAAAAGCAATGGAGAAGATTATAGATAACCACATCAGGTCTACCATTCTGAGGAATATACCCCTGCACACCTGTCAGCATGCATACAGGGCTGGAAGGTCCACGGATACAGCCCTATACCAGCTGACAACCGAGATTCACTCTGGAGTGCGCAGGGCACTGGAGAGGAGAAACGTGGAGCCAGCGATCTGCTTCCCAAAGTGTCGCAGTTTTGGTGTGTTCACCCTTTATTTCTACGATTCGTAGCAAAATCCGAATACGAAAGAGTTGCAGAATAGGGGTGTTAGTCTTGTACCTGAGGTGGTACAGTTTCTGCGCTTGTGACAATTTTGGGTGATTTATGTATACGGCTGTAAACATGTCCCGGAAGGACGGCCATTGTTCATAACCCCCATGGAAAGTTTCCGTGTCACATGCTGGCATTTTGAGATATATGCCTGAGCTTTGCTCTTGAATTTGGCTTACTTCTACTCTCGGGGGTGGAGTAGGTGCGCTAACTGGTTTTAGTAACTTAAGCTGATCGGAGATCGTAGCTTTTATCTCTTCATATTGGTCAAGGCAGTTTTCGTATTTAGCGGCAGCCGAAGCTTTGAAATTCTCGGGTAAATCGGAATCATCGTTTCTATAATTGTGTCATATGCTCTTGAAGGCGCGCCCAGAAGTTGTCAAGGTTGTGGTTTTTTATTTCCAGAACCGATTTTCTCTGTTTTGCACCCTGCTTCAAGCGTGTAGCTTGTGCAGGTGTGCCTTGAGGTTTATCCTCATCAACCATTGTTGGTACTTTTAAAGTGGTTGGGGTTTTGGCTAATTGCTCCTTTGCTGGAGTTTTATCAGAAGGCATTTATGTATGCGAGAATATATAGATTTTATTTTATTTTGTCTCTGTATTTAATTAACCGCGAATAATATAAGCAAGTTCCCGTATCGTCGTTCGGATTTTGACTTACTTTTATTTATAGTAACACAATGTACCGCAATACTCTCGCTATATTATTCTTTTTTTTTTTATTTATATTAACAGGTTCCCTGTCCCCATGCAATACATCTTTTTTCATGGCATACGTCCCCCGTTCTTTTCAGGATTCTTTATCTGATTTGATATTATTTGCATATAAAAATATGCAAACAGCGTAGATTATATGCCCTTATGCAAAAAAAAATTAATTATTAATATCTCATGTATAACATAAGGGTGGGAAATAGTTTTCGATAAGGTACGTCCTATGTATGTATGTTTCCACACAAAAACACTATATTTTTTCCAAAATACCTAGAAATATGTATCTGAAGTCAGCATTGATATTGCTCATATATGATGCATGGACTTGTGAGACAAGGTAAAAAACTGTTCCCATGAATCACATGTGATTCATTGGACAGGGAACCTGTTAATTTTATTTTTGTTTCCGATTGGGTGTTTATTTTATTTTATTTTTTGTTAATAAACAAGGCTTCTTCAAATTACCGTAATTAAAATCTTTATATTGAGTATTTTGATTTTACCGCGCTTCTTAATAGTTTTCCCGTGTGCCGTACAAGGTATATGCACTACTGGGTTAGTAGGTATGTGAGTATATATGTATATGTGTATGTTAATGTTAGCATGCAATGATACAATATATAAGGCTCATTCCATCTCAAATCACCCAGGCCGGGGGAAAGTGAATTTAAGTTCGCGATAAAACTCACATGGATTGTTCCTTGAACAATTTAAGGAGACACGTATTTTTTCTTTTTGCTCAGAAATGCAAATTTTTCGAATAATGAATTTTTTTATTTTTTCCTCTCTTAATAGCAACTTTTGATGAAATCGTTTATAACTACCGCTATTGGGTGGATGCGCTCTTGCGTACAGCTTCAGACAACAAAGGGTTGTCCGCAGGGAGGGGTCTTATCACCCCTTCTGTGGAGCTTAGTGGTGGATAAACTCCTTAAACTTATCTCTGGCAATGGTATACGCTGCCAAGGCTTTGCGGATGATATAGTAATAATCGCCAGGGGGAAGTTTTAGAGCACCCTCTGCGACATCATTAAAAGAGGTTTAAGACTGACGAAGGCATGGGGCGATAACCGTCACCATTCATTTTACTAGGAAAAGAGCCCTTCCGGGCATGAGGAACATAACCTTGGAGGGGGTCGAGGTTAGCATCGCCAGCGAACTGAAGTATCTGGGAATAGTCCAAGACAAGAAACTTCTATGGACGAAATATGTGGACGCGATCATCTCTAGGGCCACGAAAGCTTTAATGGTGTGTAAGCGTCTGGCGGGAAGATCCTTGGGTTGTACGCCCAGAATCCTAAGATGGCTTTACATCATGATAGTACGGCCTATGGGGCGGTAGCTTGGGTTTCAAGAACTACTCTAGCCACGGTGAGACAATCGCTCACCAAGCTACAACGACTGGCATGTGTTTGTATAACAGGAGCGATGCGCACATGTCCGACGACGGCGCTGGAAGTAGTCCTTGAACTCGAGCCTCTTCATATAACCATAGAGCAGGCAGCCAAAAGAACTCTGCTTAACATTGCGAGAGAGGGATTTGGTAAAGGTAAAGTCATTTCCTCTAGGAGTATGGAGGAGCTAGGGTCCTCGCTCCCACTTGCCCTGTTACCTAGAGATGACATAGGAAAGACCATAGTCTTTGAGAATACATTCAAAATAGAGCTTTGCAGTAAAGCGACCTGAAGTGTCTCCACTTTCGAGACATTACTTCAGGGTTGCACTCTGCACTGGTACACCAATGGCTCGAAGACCCCAGAAGGAATAGTTGCTGGAATTGTTGGACCCTGGGCCAGGATTTCTGTTCCTATGGGGAAATATCCGAGCATTTTTCAAGCAGAAGTTTACGCTATCTACCTGTGTGCGGATACAATCATGGGTAGAGGGTAAAAAAACAAGAGAATCTTAATCCTGAGCGATAGTCAGGCAGCACTCAAGGCCCTTATTCCTATGAGGTCAAATCGTCGCTGGTCCTGGAGTGCATTGAGAAACTTAACTCCCTAGGTAAACACAATAACATCAAGTTGGCGTGGATACCTGGTCACAATGGAGTAGAGGGTAACGAGGCGGCTGACTGTCTCGCAAGAGAGGCGGCAGCCACTACTCCAGTTGGCCCTGAGCCCTTCCTAGGATTGGGTCCCAACACTCTAAACGAGGAGCTCAGGATAGAGAGGATCACTATGAGGGATATAAACTGTCAAAATTCGTCAGGAATGCGTCAAGCAAAGAGTTTACTGGGAGGTTATAACAAGGAGATTCCAAGGGTTAGTTGACCTCCCAAAAGGGCAGCTTAGAATAATAACAGGTATCCTCACGGGACACTGCAGGCTGAGGGGGCATCTACCCAAGCTGGGGATATTGTCGAGTGACCTTTGTCGGTTTTGCAACTCTACCAGTGAGACACCTCTACACATCCTCACCAAATGTGATGCAGTCTGCAGAAGACGTGAGAGAAGTTTAGGCTCAATGTGGCCACAGCTTAGGCACATTCGCTCCCTATCCCCTAAGGTAGTGTTAAATTTTCTCAGGTAATTAGGTTTGGAGGAGGTATTGTGAAGGGTGGAGGGCA